ATGGGAATTGTCAATAATCTTTCCTGTTACTTCTTCTTTTGCAAACTTCAAAAGGTACACTGTTTCAGCTTGAATTTATTTTTTTTTTATTGAAAAGTTTTACAATTACATTTTCTCCCCAATTTCCCACCCCCCAGCCCTCCCTAACCCTCCCTAACCCCCCCAACCCACCCCTCCCCCCCGGACTTCCACAAAATATAATCCAAATCAAAATCCCCTTTTTATAAAACTTGAACCCCTCCATCCCCTATATATTTTTCACATCTTCACAAAATTCAATTATTCTATCTCGATATAATACTTTCAGTTAAAAGCTATCTGATATTTCCTAGTTTGATATTTATTCTGCACATAATCTATCCACTTTTTCCACTCCCATACATAAGTCTCTTGTGAGCGATCTTTTAAATATGCTGAAATCTTCGCCATCTCTGCAAAGCTGGCCATCTTCAAGGTCCATTCATCAATAGTAGGCATAGCTTCATTTTTCCAATATTGACCTATCAGTAATCTCGCTGCTGTTATCATATACAATATCAACTTTGTTTCACCCAATGTAAAACCCTTAACTATACCCAATAAAAACAATTGTGGAGAAAACTGAATTTTTTTCTTCAAAACATTCTGCATAACCCACCAAATTTTTATCCAAAAAGCCTTCACTTTCTTGCAAGTCCACCACACATGATAATATGTGGCATCTAGACAATCACATCTCCAGCATTTTGGTTGAACATTAGGGTACATGCACGACAATTTCTTAGGATCTAAATGCCATCTATAAAACATTTTATAAAAAATTTCCCTCAAATTCTGCGACTCTGTAAATTTGACATTCTGAACCCATATTTTTTCCCATGTTTCCAACATCACTGGTTCTGCAAAATTTTGTGCCCACTTAATCATGCAATCTTTAACCAATTCAGTTTCTGAATCCCTTTCTAACAAAACATTATAAAGCCTTTTAATATGCTTTGGACCTTTCTCTTTTATATGTCTAACCAATTCTTCCTCATGCATCATTATACCAATTTTTTGGTCCTCTTTCCATCTCAATTGAAGTTGATTATACTGTAACCAAGTTAAATTAATCCCTTCTTCCAATAGCGTTTCTAAAGTCTTCAATTGCCATCTGCCCGCATCTGCAAAAAGAACTTCTTTATATAAAAACCCCGTGAGTGACATTATATTTGTATTCCACATAATATGACCACATAATATTTCAGCTTGAATTTATAAACAAGGCTCTCAGTTTGCCTCAGTCTATAAAACCAAACAATTTCTAATCAGTTCAGCAAGCATTATCAAGGTCATTCTTGTCTTGACGTGTTCATTTAACTTTATTATTCAGTTCATTATCCTTTCAGTGGCGCCTCTAGGTGGTACTGCAGTTTATTTTCACCCAAGAAAAGTAGAAAAAGCTTTTCCTTTTAAAAACACTTCATTCCATCACTTAAATTTAGTTCAATTTCATTTGTTAAGATTAAAAAAGTTAAAAATACTCAATCAGTCATTCTGCTATTCTCTCATTGTCCAAATCAATTCTGCTAATCCATTTAATTTTCTCTTCTTTAATTTAGGCTCACCCACTTTCCTCGCTGCTGTATTGTTGGAGGTAGAGAAGCTGACATACTCTCACTCCCTCCTCCTCTCTCTTTGCCATTTTCTCCTCTTTTAGCTATTTCCAGGAGGTTATGAAAAGAAACTTGTATTTTTAAGAAAAGCAGGCATCTCACTCAGATGATCCACACTTCCCTTTACTTCCACGCTTCTGCTGTGGCTGTAGCAACTCTCAATGGCTGCTTTCTCAGCCGTCCGGTTGAGAGGCTTCTTCCAACCAGCCAGGGAATTTGCAACTTCCCTGTCCTTGCCAGTCTCTGCCTCTCTCATTCACCGTCCCTACAGGACAGCTTCAGTCAAAAACACCCCCAGATGGCTGCGATATCGACAATCCTTCGGAAATCCCCGAAGAAAGCTTTGTTTCACTGTGGACGCAGGCCACGACTCACACACCCCAGCTCCTACTTGTGAAAAATCTTCCTCACTGTAGAATGATGGATTTTAAATTGTTTGGAAATGGCCTTTTAAACTTTCCGAAATTGATCAGCAGCAATAATTGCTTCTCTAAGATCATTGCTGATGTCTTTACACTTTGGCATTGTGTTAACACACACCTCAATGCCAGAGACCAGCAAACTCCTACAACTTTGGCTTTTATCAATGTAATTATCCTGGCTGCTGATCAATTGATCAAGGGCACTTTATTAGCAGTACTTGGCTGCTACTTTGCCTCTTTATACTATGTAAGCAGTGAGAAGTTTCCTAATAGTGAGAACAAGTAACCAACAGAACGGCTTGCTTCAGAAGTTGTGGTGCTCCATCACTGGAGGCTTTTCAGAAGAGATGAAACAGCCACTTGTCTGAAATGGTATAGGGTGTCCTGCTTGAGCAGAGGCTGGATTAGAAGACCTACAAGGTCCATTCCAATTCTGTTATTTTCTTCTGTTCTCTAGCAATGATATTTATGATACCCGGATAAGTAAAACCATAGAAATCAAATAGGGTGTACTTTCTTTTTCACTTGACTGTATTTGAAAAAATCCTTTGCATTGCTAAGAATTTGTGATTGACCTAGTCAACAAGTGAATTTCATCATTTTTCATTGTAATGTAAATGTTTTTCTTTTTTTCTCATCTTCTGCAACCATTAAAGATACATTTTTATTTGAATCTTATAGACAAAGACGATGGCAATAAGAGCCCTCTGGACAACTGAGGACAACAAGCAACACTGAATAGCAAAGCAATTCAGTCCAGAAATCAAAATATTTTCCATTTCCTTCAGACAGCCACACAGTTCTTCATCTTCCTCAGCAAGTGAGAGAGAAACAAGAGAAAATCAAGATTTCTAGCTGGGAAAAGTAGAGTGTGAAATTCAAGCATACGTTACATGAAAAGTCAAGGGAGATTATTGTTCCATTGAGCAAAAGGGGGAAATATCGGGAAGTTACTGGGGAGGAAAAGGTCAATTGGAAAGCCCTTAGAGCAGACAGTGTTGCAGGCCTCGCTCTGGGAGCAAGAAAACGGCTTGAATCAAAGCACTGCTAAAGAAGGGATCATCCATATTATGGACCTCCTCAAGAATATTACTTGTGGAAAAGCTCCATAGACGTGACAGTTGCGGGAAAGATACGACTTGTAAATCACAGCTAATTATGCCTGAGAGGATCCAGACTGGAGAAAAGCCATACAGTACTCTAAATGTGGCAAAACCTATGGTCAGAACAAGTCTATTGTGGTTCTTGGAAGGACCCACACAGGAGAGAAGCCCTACAAGTGCTCCCAATGCGATAAATGCTTTAGCGAGCATGGCAACGTGGACTCACACCAAGGAGAAACCGCTTGAATGTCCTGATTGTGGGAAATTTTTCTGTCATAATTCCAGCTTGGTGACACACCAGAGGATTCACACAGGAGAGAAACCGTTTGAATGTCCTGATTGTGGAAAATGTTTCAGTCAGCATTCCAACATGGTGACACACCAGAGCACTCACACAGGAGTGAAACCGTTTGAATGTCCTATTTGTGGGAAAAGTTTCAGTAAGAATTTCAGCCTTATTGGCCACCAGAGGATTCACACAGGGGAGAAACCATTTGAATGTCCTGTTTGTGGAAAAAGTTTCAGTCAGAATTCCCACCTTGTAAAACACCAGAAGACTCACACAGGAGAGAAACCCTTTGAATGTCCTGACTGTGGGAAAAGTTTCACTCAGAATTGCACCCTTGTTCAACACCAGAGGATTCACACAGGAGAGAAACCCTTTAAATGTCCTGACTGTGGGAAAAGTTTCAATACCAATTCCAATCTGGTGACACACCAAAGGACTCACACAGGAGAAAAACCCTTTGAATGTCCTGATTGTGGTAAAAGTTTCAATAACAATTCCAGCCTGGTGAAACACCAGAGGATTCACACAGGGGAGAAACCATTTGAATGTCCTGTTTGTGGAAAATGTTTCAGTCAGAATTCCCACCTCGTGAAACATCAGAGGACTCACTCAGGAGAGAAACCCTTTGAATGTCCTGACTGTGGGAAAAGTTTCGCTCAGAATTGCACCCTTGTTCAACACCAGAGGATTCACACAGGAGAGAAACCCTTTAAATGTCCTGACTGTGGAAAATGTTTCAGTCAGAATTCCACCCTTGCTCAACACCAGAGGACTCACATAGGAGCAAACCTCTTTGAATGTCCTGTTCTTGGAAAAGTTTATCTTAGAGATCCCAGCTCATGGTGCCCCAGAGGACTCACACAGGAGAGAAGCCCTACAAGTGCTCCCAATGCGGTAAATGCTTTAGCGAGCATAGCAACGTGGACTCACACCAAGGAGAAACCGTTTGAATGTCCTGATTGTGGAAAATGTTTCAGTCAGCATTCCAACATGGTGACACACCAGAGGACTCATACAGGAGTGAAACCATTTGAATGTCCTATTTGTGGGAAAAGTTTCAGTAAGAATTCCAGCCTTATTGGCCATCAGAGGACACATACAGGAGAAAAACCCTTTGAATGTCCTGATTGTGGAAAATGTTTCAGTCATCATTCCAACCTGGTGACACATCAGAGGACTCACACAGGAGAGAAACCCTTTGAATGTCCTGATTGTGGGAAACATTTCAGTCACAATTCCACCCTGGTGACACACCAGAGGACTCACACAGGAGAGAAACCCTTTGAATGTCTTGATTGTGGTAAAAGTTTCAGTAACAATTCCAGCCTGGTGAAACACCAGAGGATTCACACAGGAGAGAAACTCTTTGAATGTCCTGACTGTGGGAAAGGTTTCAGTGAGAATTCCAGCCTAGTGATACACCAGAGGACTCACATAGGAGAGAAACTCTTTGAATTTCCTGTTCATGGGAAACTTTCAGAGATCCCAGCTCGTGGTGCACCAGAGGACTCACACAGGAGAGAAGCCCTACAAGTGCTCCCAATGTGGTAAATTCTTTAGCGAGTATGGCAACGTGGACTCACACCAAGGAGAAACGGTTTAAATGTCCTGATTGTGGGAAATATTTCTGTGATAATTCCATCCTGGTGATACAGCAGAGGATTTACACAGGAGAAAAACCCTTTAAATGTCCTGATTGTGGTAAAAGTTTCAGTAACAATTCCAGCCTGGTGAACCACCAAAGGACTCACACAGGAGAGAAACCCTTTAAATGTCCTGACTGTGGGAAAGATCTCAGTATTAGGGTGAGCCTTTTAAATCATGTCCTTATACACACAAGGGAGAAACCATTTGAGTGCTCCGAATGTGGACAGTGTTTCAAGAAACCTGACTGTGGGAATACTTTCAGTAAGAATTCCACCCTGCTTCAACACTACAGGATTCAGACAGGAATCATTTGAATCTCCTCTTTGTGGAAAAGTTTCAGTCAGAATTCCCACCTCGTGGAACACCAGAGGACTCACACAGGAGAGAAACCCTTTATATGGCCTGACTGTGGTAAATGTTTCAGGAAGAATTCTAACCTGGTGATACACCAGAGGACTCACATAGGAAAGAAACTCTTTGAATGACCTGTTCATGGAAAAGTTTCAGAGATCCCAGCTCATGGTGCACCAGAGGACTCACACAGGAGAGAAACTGAATGAGTGTCCCGTTTCTGGCAAAAGTTTCAGTTGGAATTCCAACCTGGTGATACACCACAGGAGAGAAACCATAGAAGTGTCCAGACCGTGGGAAAAATTTCAGTATTAGGACTAGCCTTTTAAATCATATGCTTATACACACAGGGGAGAAACTATTTGAGTGCCCTGAATGTGGATGGTGCTTCAGGAAACATTCCAGCCTTATTGCACACAAGAAAATCCACATGATGCCCCAAGTGATGAGTGTAGAGAAAGCTTGAATTTCATTTCTAATATCCCATTGAAAGTCCAACTGAGATTTGCCTATTTTTTTGTAGGCAAATATGTAATGGTATTAGACGGGAAGGAGGAAGGAAAAAATAGCAACATACTAGTTTGATAATAGCCATCTGGCCATCAGCAGCAGAAGTTGCTGGATATGGGTAGTCCTCAGGTTACAAATATAATGGATCCTGCCCATTCCATCTGTTAACTCGAGAATTCGTGGGAGTGAATCTCTTACATTGAATGACATCAATTCCTGCTTTCGCTCTTCCATTTGCTGCTTTCTTGCCTCAGTTTTCAGATGTAAAGGCTGTTCTGCCATGCAGGTGACCTTCATGGAGAAGAGCTGTAGGAATATTGAGTTGAGGAGAAAAGGGATTGTGGTTTTGTGCACAGGACCTCCAGGTTTATTCGCAACTCCTGCTGTGAACTCCTTTGTTTTTTGGGGCCTCCTTATTAGCCTTTGACAGCTGGTAGGTGAGAGCAGCACCAAGATACTAATACTTTTGTTGGGGGGGGGCTTGGTGGGTAGATGGGGGGGGAAATGTACAGTAATGTTTCACTGCTAAAAGAGCATTGCATAAGCATCTTTAGCAGCTTTTGAGAAAGACAAATAAAGGAAAGTGTCAGCATTTCTGTAAACACATTGAAGACATTTCCTGTTCTTTCAGTGCTTCTCTCTCAGGGCTTCTTAATGTTTTAATCCTTGAAATATAGGGAGGAACATTATTTGTGGCAGCAAAAGTGACATTTTAGCTATGCAGATGAATGGTCCTGATTTTTCTGGGATTGGAAGACACCAAAGAATTCCAAGATTTATTTCCCCAACACCATTCCCAAAGACAGGTTACAATTTTTTTAGTAGGTCTCATTACACCCAACAGCCAGGACCAGGCCAGGTGTGTGTGGAGAATCCAAGAGGGTCTTCGCCTGAGTCTTAAGTCTGATTTCAAATTTAATCATATGCAAAATTTCTAAAATTTAAAACAGTAAAAATATATTTAATCAATTTTCCTTTTTTCTTTCCTTGGTGTCATATTTTAGTGTACCATCTTTATTATGTCTCATCATAGTTAGGAGTCGGAAACCCTTTCAATAATCCCAAAGCCTCTGAATCTCACAGGGCTATATAACAATATCAAGCAACATTAAATAAAGCCAACCTAAGAGTTGGAGGGCATAGTTTACAGGGTGACGTCAAAAGCCATAAGTCACCACTCAGACGAACAGTCCATTTCCTCAGAATCAAGATTTGAAGCTGAGATTGAAAGGTGGAAAATAGGTGTTGTTTGGAGGATACTGTATTTTGAAAGCTGCAGCCTTGAATTTGGGGCTGGAGTAGTAGGAACAGCTGAATGTATAGATTTTGTGGGGATGAAGAAAGCCCAGTTTGATGGTCACCAAGCTAGAGCCTGAGAGACACTAATTTCTGGTCCTGCTTTAGGCACAAAGCCATCTCAGAGACCTTGGCCTGTCCCATCCTCTCAGGCCTTGGAATGGGGAAATCTGCTTTCAAAAAACCCTGCCAAGGAAATGGCAGGGAAATGGGAGTGCAGGATAACTCCCCTAAACCTATCTTTGCAACTGAGCGAACCTTGAAGAGTGAAGCTTGACTTACTTAGCTTCTCAAGATTAGGGAATACCGTAAACACCACCTCCCTAATGAAGGTCTTGTTTGTGTGCACAGCCGCCAAATGATTTCCAGCTTCATCCTATCAATAGAATAATGAAACATGGACCAATAGCTGGAAACATCCACTCTCCTTGCTTCCAAATCACGTCTAGATAGGAGATATTTTATCTATCTGCATCCTTGCAGAACCTAAATCTCACTAGAGGAAAGAGTTGCTCAGAGCAGCCTTTCCAATCTGTGAAGGAGTTAGATTTCAGTCTTATTACTCCCAAATTTTGGGCAAAAGACTTGGAGGGCAGCAGTTTGCAGAAAGCTGATGTATAGATTTTGCACTTTCTTAGGGGTGACTCAGTGGAGATCAAAACCTCCCCAAAACTTTATGGCTGATTTCTTGTGGTTCCCAAGGATTTAGGACCTAGGAGGATCAGTGGGTCAGAGGCTCAAAGGGAGGCAACTTCATTTGTACTGCCCAGAGATGCTTCCAAGCACACTGATGCTAAATGCCTTGTGTGTCTATAACTTTGCATACACAGAAGTCTCCATTAGGTCAAAGTGAGAAAGTCACATACCCAGCAGGGCTAGAAAAGGGGGCTTAACAAGAGTAGATGACTTGTCTATTTGTGGTAAGAGAAATGTTTCCAAAAGGCATTTCAAACAGTTGGAAAAAATGTTGGTAATACAGATGTGCATACAAAACTCTATCAAGGTCACACCACTCTTTCATACACATTCCTTTTTTTAATTCAATTTTTTTTTTTGAAAAAAGTTTATTTTTTTTGAAACATAAACAAAAAATACATCTTTTCAGAACGAGCCATTGATCCGGTCAAAATTACAATTACTAACTTCTCTTTAACAAAAGCTTTATCCAAATCTCCACTAATTACTATCTTATAACAATAAAAATAAACAAAGAGAAATGCCTAACTTATAATGATTTACTCAAAACAATTACCTTTCTATTGTTTCATCTCAATCTTAATTTTCAGATAACACAACTTAATATTTTACATCATCATTACCCTAAATTCTATCCAACAATTCCATTATCCTAAAACTGGTTACTTAAATCTTAAAATCCTACCCAATATCATTTCAATTTTCTTTTCTCTTTTAGCTTAAATGAAGATATCTTAAAAATATAAATCCTTACAATTACTAAGAATATTTACACAATATTTTAACTGTTAATATTTATAATCTTCATTTTTCTATTTATCTCAGCCTAGATCTTATTTTACTGTTACTCCCAACATAATCATTTCATTATTATTATTAATTCCAATATAGTCATTTTTATTTTAACTATTTGTCCCAGCATATCATCTTCATTTTAGTCATCTTCTTTTATCTGTTAATCTCAGCATTAATATCTTTAATATTACTGTTACACTCAGTATAATCATCTTATTTTTCATATTATCATTATCATCTTTATAACAATTTAACAATGATATTTAGTTCTTACATTAAATACATCCATTTATGAGTTAATAAATTTCTTTTAACATAATCTATTTCTTTTATATTCTATCTTCCTTTCTTACTTCAGTTTTATATCTCTATAACATATTCTCACATATTCATATTCAATGCTTATTCATCTATAAAGACCTCCTTTTTATTATTGCTATCCATCTATACGTTGCTTTCCATTTCTAATCACGTTTATCTTCTTTTTTTTCCAGCCGTGTATATCTTATTTCCTTATCTGTTAGCATATATTTCTTTTGAATTTCAATGTCCCCAATTTACATTCTCCGTAGATCATTTTAGTTCTTTTTCTTACTTCTATTCCAAGCAACATATATCAGTTATTTCTTCTTTCGTTCCTACGCCTGTTGACTTCTTTCATTCCTGCGCCAATTAGTACCAATTATATTCATGTAATTTATATATTTTCCCTTTCTTTTCACCAAAGTCGAGCCATCTACAGACAAAGAAAGAACACCTCCACCACCAAGATCCCACGGCTATTATCTGTAGCATTCACAATATTCCAAAACAAGAAGCAAGTTACAATGTTCCTTTTTAAACCAGAAGGTGTCTCTCTTCAATCCACAATTTCCATTAGTCATGCAAGTATCCATTTTGTTACAATTATATAAATCCTATTTGATTCTCTTCTTTTTCTGTGTTTTAAAAGTATTAAATCTGGTTTTTTCCCCCCTTAAAGTTCCAATTTAAAACTTTGTCCAGTTTTTGAACCTTGTCCCAATATTTAATTTTTTTCACTTGGATCTATTCATCAATTGATTTTCTATCAAGTCTTTTCCTCTTTACTTTTTAATTTTAAAAATATCAAATCATCTTCTTTTTTAAAGTCCAATTCAAATTTAAAACTTTAGCCAGTCTTTTAGTCAAATCTCAATATTTGTTTTTTTTCAGTTGATTCTATTCCAAAGTCAATTTCCGGGTGGGTCTTTGTCTCTTTAAAGTTTCATTTCAGAATTGTCATTGCCCCTTTGTTGTTCAGCCACTATTTTTGGTTAGGGGTCTTATAGTTAAAAATATTGCTCCAAGCGTTGTTACATGCCTGGGTTGGTTGTCACTCAACCAGCTTCAAAGAGGTCCATTCTTTTCCACTCTCCTCCAGCACATTTCTTAGTCCAGTTGTCCGAGCTTCGTGGCAGCCGCCATGGCTGCTGCCCCCCGCTGCCGACTCACAGAAAGTTCCCACTGACGTCCGAGGAACTTGCCCGTTCCTCTTATTCATCCGAGGCGCCTCTCTTTCTTCCCCGTCCCTGCAGGACGGTTCTGGTCCGAAGACCCACCGGCGGTGGCGGTTCGGTAGTTGGGGTTTTCGCAGGACTCATCAGAGCCCGCTATTTCCCCGACTGTCTCGCTGCGACACCAAACCAGAAGAGTTCTTTTTTTAATTCAAAATTTTAAACTAATGTACAAGGCAAACAAAAACAAATGATAGAGAAGCAGGAAGGGAATTGAAAAAAGAAAAACCATATAATTGCACTTTTCACCCTTTTCTCTGTTGAGAAATTGTCATCTCACATTCTTATTTGGAAATTATCTCTGCTCAGTTAACCAGAATAAAAACTTCCTTGGAAACTGATCCTGGCCTGAAGTCCATTCCTCAGAGAAATCCAGTCCAACATTTCCCTTCCATGTTACTTATGTGTGCAGAGGAGGAGGGAGATTTTTTCAATGCACAGGTGGCAAGCAGTAACCAGACCCTTATGGTAGAGTCCCACTTAAGGGCTCCTTGGGCCAGGTGGGAACCCAGAGAATGAGACGGGACCAACAGGCCATGTGTTTAACTTGTTGCTGCCCAGGGATCTCATATCCCAGAGCAGATGTACAACAGGAGCACACCCGCACATACACTGTAGTTTGTAGGGACCCACCAAGCTCCTTGGAGCAGAGTCCAAAGTCCACTTCCTCCTCCTGCGGCTGCATATTCCCTGTGGCAGGTCTGTGACCTCTCTGAGGAAACACTCTTGATGGTGGAAGTCTCCCAGAAAAACAAGCAAGTTAGAAGGACATCAAGTATGCTGCAGAACAAGTTAACCCAGTTTGTGGGGGCAATAAGCTGACTTTGTATGAATATACAAAAGTATGAAGGCTATTCCTTAACGCATTGTAAGCCGCCCTGAGTCTCCGGAGAAGGGTGGCATATAAATCAAAATTAAAAAAAACACAAAAAACCAAGGTCTCTTTGGGGTGGCACTCAATGCCTAATGATTTAAAGGATTAATGATTGCACGTTTCTTGACAACTGTCATTTCCTTCTCCAGAGTGTTTCTCCTCTCTCTCTCTGTCTCTCTCTCTCTCACTCACTCACACACACACACACACACACACCTGCAGACATCGTAAACATCTCAGTGATAGCAACATGACTACTCCCTAGCAGTCAATAAGGAGGAAGAGAGAGAAAAGGGAGAAGCACAAAGGAAGAGAATATTGTGGCCAAACCTGCCTGATCTGAAGCAACCAAATGACTAGCATATATTAAGCATGCCAACAAACACTGTGTCGAACCCAACCAAAGCAAGCACGGCTGAGACGATACAATCTCTTAATACAAAACTTTAATGAGTACATCATATCGGCAAAGATGAGGGCAAAGGCAGATCTGACTGTTTCCTGCGCAAACCCACATAGTTAAAGTTCAAGTTTTCCCTCCCCCCTATTAGGCCAGGTCACATTGTCCAATGGAGACTTCTAGTATTTTCGTGAAAAAGTCTTTTTCAGCTCTGGTAAGCACCTGACGCTTGACACACTCTGCAAAATGGATTCCACCAAAGCATTGGCAGCTTTCTGAGCAGCCCTGACCTAAAGCAGAACCGCAGTTTATATACTGTTAGCCCATTACATTACAAAGATATAGAAACAGGCAAGCACCCTATAGAGTACAGCGTGAT